CCAGCAGCCAGGCAGGAACACCCTTGAACGACTCCGCCAACATCACCGATCGCGAACGCTCAGGGCCTCGCTGCTCTGTTCGTGCGCCGGCCGAATGCGTAAGAAACGCCGTCCGCCTGGACACGGTAAAGAGAATGGCCCCAAGCAACTCCAGAAACTCAATGGGGACGCAGTCGTCGAGGACCGTGTCGGCCACGGCGTAGGCCCCGCCCGGAAACTTCGGCACCGCCGGATTGCCCGCTGCAGCCGTCGGCGTCGGCGGGTTCGGGGCGTTGACCCCCGCCTCCGCCGCCGCCTCCGCCGCCGCCGCCCCCTCCTCCACGCCGCCTTGATCGAGGAGCAACACCCGCTGCACGGGCCTCGCACCGCGGCGCAGGCTTTCCTGGTAGCGAACCTGCCTCGGGTTGGGGTGACTGTAGACGTTGTCCCAGACTTGCACAAAGAGGCGAAGGAAGAGCTCATACCACCCTTGAATGGAGCTCGGCACCACTGCTAACCCGCCGGTGACACCGTTCGACGCCTCTGCGGCATCGCGAACCGCTGACTCCACATCGGGGCCCGCCGCAGACATCTTCTGGACGGTTTTGAGCACCGCATCTAGCGTGCGGGCCGCCAGTCGCTGGACGTGCGCGTCACCCCAGGTGGACACCGGCTGGCGCATCAGCGCCTCGCAGAGTGTGGCGAGTGGCGGCAGCAAAAACGGGTAGTAGTTCTCATCCGTGAGCGAGGGCAGCAGCGTGTTAAACAGCTCAAAGGCGCACTGCAGCATCAAGCTGCTATCCTTTACTCGAGATGCAAGATCCATGGCGAACTGAATTCGGTAGGCGCTACGCATGTGCCACAGCTGTACCTTTTTGAGGCCGTACCGCTGCTCAAACGGCACCTGCATCATGAAACTCTTCCCATCGAACGGCAACAGACCCGTCGTATCAAAGTTGTGGTACGGAATGCGACGCGCCTCCACCGTCGACATCCACAAGAGTGCGGAGACAAGCGTCTGAAGCTGCAGCGTAGACGACACGGCCAGAACCTCCTCGTTGGTGCGCACCACAAACATCGAGGCTGGGTTCTCCGTCGACTCAGTCGCGGCAGCCGTGGACGCGGCGTCCACCTCAATGCTTTGCCCGTCAGGCGTCCCGCCCTCCTTGTCATTTTTCGCAAAGGCCGCGTAGAGAACATCCTTCGCCCGCTCCGTCATGCTATTGAAGCCCAGTTTTCCGCACGTTGATACGGCGTAGCACAGGATCATAAAGGCGGAGTAGGCGCTCTCGCCCTGCGGCTTTGTGCTTGCGCCCGTTGTGTGAAACTGCCCACGACGGTTCTCGTGGCGCTGCAACAGATGGAAGGCCCCTTCTAACATTTCACGCTGCACCTTGGTCTGCAGCTGATGCGGCGCGAGGCACATGAGGATGAGGGCTTGAAGAAGTTCATCCCCTTCGTCTCTGGCCCAGGCCAGCAGCCGCCCCCTCTCCTCCTCGCTCACCCGCGGCATCTCCGGCTGCGTCCGGAGGAGCGACTCGAGAACGTTGGCCTCCTTCATCGTGGTGGCCCCGTACACCTTCGTATTGGCCTGCCGCTCCATCACCAGCTTGATGTCCGACTTGTGCTTCTCGAGCGCGGCACAGTGCTGGTGAAGGATGGACGAGGTCCAACGCAGCTGTACCAGCCAACGAGTCAACTCGGTGCGCATGTCGCGTATCTCCTGCTCCCGACGGATGCTGGCCACTTCCTCGTCCCTCTCCAGCGCCCCAGTTGCGCCCGGCGCGGGGGCGCCACGTGTGGACGCAGTCAAGTGGCTGCTACTCTCCTTGGGGCTCCGCTTCTCCTTGTGCGGCTGTGTGGGGGGCGGGGCAAGGCAGCCGAGGGCCATGCGGAGGGAGGCAAGCGCCATGCGTGCTCGGTTGCACTTCCTGCGCAGTGCACGCATGGGCCCATCCAACACGCGAAAGCGTTTGCTACGCTCCCCGGCGCTCTTGCCGACGGCTGCCTTGACCGACGCCGCTGTCTTTGTGCCAGCCTCCCCATCGCCGGCCCCGTCACCACCGCCGCCGGCGTCCTTTGGCCGATTCGAAAACTCCGCCTCCACCTGCTGCACATACGCCAGGACGAGGTGGCCGACGCTGACCCCGTCGGAGAGGCCACTGTTCACCTTGGCCCCCAGGTAGGCGCAAACAATCCTATGATACATGTCCGTCGCCTCCAATTCCTCCTCCTCCTCCTCCTCTGCTGCTGCTGCTGCTGCCTCCCCCCCCTCCACCCCACCACCAGCACGTGATACGGTTTTGTTTGCCCCAACGGCGGTATTGGTGGGAGAGGGCGTCAGAGCAGAGGCGGAGAGCAGCGAGAATGGCGCAAAGGCGCGTACGCGCTCCTGCAGAAGCCCAGCGCCTTCCTCCATAATTCCCTGATAGATGGCAGCAAAACTGCTAGAGAGGACGGTGGAGGTGCCAAGCATCGGCGTGGTTGACGAGGGGGGCGGAAACGCCGGAGCGACGACGGTGTCCTTCTTGCTTTGCTGCAGGAAAGCATTCACACTGATGCCGCCGGGGCCGGCGTAGAGTTCGGTGAGTCGCTCCAACGCCTGCGCAATGGCGGCGAGATCGCCGATACGCGCTGACGCCTCTGAACCCACGCGCCGCATTCGTTGCAGTAGTCGCAGTGCAACACCTACAGTGTCAAGAAGCCGCAGCTGTAGCGTCTTCTTGGATGGTGGCACTATTTTTCTGATGCTCACACGTTTTGTGTGCTTGCCCTGCTTCGCATCCTCCTCTTCCTCCTCCTCCAGCTCCCCGTGGCGCTGCAGCAGGGACGCGGCACTGCAGGTGCAGAAACAGGCGTACAGTTGCGCCCGCGTCCCCTCGTAGAGGACGCGGTGGAGTAGGAGTGTCACCAACAAGGCCTCCTCATTCACGGGTTCCGTGAGGAGTTGCTTCGCGGACAAGAGCTTTTCAGCATCACCGCCGCCACCGGCTGACACACTCGTCCTCGTCAAGGTCGACGCAGAGAGGCTGTGCAGTAGATGTTCTAGTGTAATACTGGCAAGGAATGACTCATCCTCCGCGGCGGGGATGCCTGACTGAACTGTGACTGGAACCCGGTTCGGCCGCCGCTTTGATGCCGCATTTTTCTTTCCGATTGCCGCGTCGTTGGCGGCGGATGCCAGTTGCTGTTGCTGCTGCCGCTGCTGTTCTTGCTGCTGGAACCACGTCTCAAGAGCTGCAAACTCCTCAGGTGGCCCCTGTTGCCGCACCTCCGGGTTCGCCTGCAGGTAAGTGGCAGTCGCGCGGTACGCGAGGAACTCCAGCGCCTCCAGCGCCCACTGACGAAACTGCTTGACCGGCGCCACGGACGCCGCCGAGAGGGTGCGGGCGGAGTGGTGACGGGGGCTCGTCTCTTGGCTCCCCGGCCCTGGCGGCGGCGGGGGGGCGGTTGCCAGCGCGAGCAGGAAGCGCAGCAGCGACCCCCACACCCGCCCCGCCACGAGGTCTTTGTTCACCACCACCTCCTGCGGCGTCTGCGGCCTCTGCTTCGCCTTCGACTGCTGCTTCGCCTGCTCCTTGGATTTGCCCTCCTTCCCCGTCACGCTTGGCGGGGCGGCGGCGGCGGCGGCTGACGCCGGTCGCTTCGGCAGCTCCACCTTGAGCAGCAGCTGCCAGGCGCGATCAAGCAGCTCAAGGCCACTGGAGGGCAACCCCTCCATCATCGCTTCCTGCTGCGCCGAGATGTTCGCCGCCGCTGCCGCCGCCGCCGCCGACTGGGGCTGCCTGGACGTGGACAAGCTCTCCGTCGCACCTCCTGACACCGCAGTTGCGGCGTTGCTGCTGCCGCGCTTCGCCGCGCTGTTGACGTACCACGCATACCGCATCACGTTAAGGAGGACGTGGTCCATGGCACGGTGCGCGACGTCCTGCGTGGCCTGCGGCGGCGGCACCGTGTCTAGGAACTCGAGATCCACCAACTCCTGGACCTTGCGTGCCGCCCGCTGCGCCACAGTGAGCGCCTCACTGTACATGGCCTGCTGCTCATAGCAGGCGGCGAGGTAGTCGTAGAGGCGCAGGCGCCACGGCAGGTACCGTACTGTCGCCAACTTGAGCGTTGCGGACTCGCATATCTCCAGGCAAAGTGCAATGTGATGGATGACGTGCGGCACGGCCTCGCTCGCTCGCTCGCCCGCCCGCCGCATCAAGTGGAGGCACATCTCATACACCATGACGCAGCCGTTGAAGAGGATGTAGTAGCTGTCATCGGGGTCCACCGCCGCAATTCCGAGCAGGCGCGACGTCGTCGCCTCAATGTGGTCCGCCGCCAGCCTAATCGTCTCCACGCGATCGCTCAACGGGGTCTCGGTGGAGAAGGCCAGGTAGAATTGGCAGTTGCCCCGCAGCAAGTCATACTGCGCCAAAAGACGCCAGGGGTAGAGAAGCTCCTTGGGATGCGCTGGGGGCTTTGACACCCCAAAGCGGTGCACCGGCACGTCGGCCGCCCCTTGCAGGCGCATCTCACTCCCCTCGGCCTCCAACCCCCCGGCGGCGTTTGCCCGCGCCGCAAGCCGCGTTGCCTCAGCCTTCGCAGCAGCCCCGCGCAACACCTCTCGCACGTCCTTCTCCAACGGATCCAGGCAGATGTCTAGCGCGTCCTCGTATGCCCCCCGCGCCTGCAGGTAGTGCGCCGCCGCAAGGCACTCCTCGGCGAGCACCGCAACGACGTCGAGGTCAGCTGTGGGCTCACGGCGGGACGCATGCGCCGGCGACCCCGCGCGACGCTCGGGGGCGCCAGTGGCGGTCATTGCAGCGCCCGCTGACGGCACGGTGAGGCTGATCGGGGTGGAGGAGGCCGAGCGCGACGTCGCGGCCGCGCGCTTTTCCAGCTCCCTCCCCGGCCGCCGTTTGTGCTCGGCGCCCGGAAGCGGCACGGAGGCGGCGGTGACGGCGGCGGGAAGGGAGCCCGTGGAACTCATCGCGATGGCGCCGCTGCGCACATCAGCGAGCAGCTGCCGCAGGCGCCCGCGCTGCCGCTGCACGTCGGCAGGGGCGGCGGCACTGAAGTGCAGGCCAACGAGGCGTCGCAGCTCTAGTTTGAAGTTTCGCCTACATTCGTCCAACACCGACATTCCCCCCAACCCCCTGCCCTCGCGGCGCTAAAACCCCACACTCGCGTCCCCTCCTTTTCTTTTCTTTTTTCCTTTTTTGTTTTACCTCCGTTGCCTCTTTTATTACTTGGTTGCTTGGTCGCCTGTGTGTGTGTGTTTTTTTTCTATTGCTTTGCTTTTTGCTTCGCTGCCCGCCACCAAAGCCAAACGGCAACAACTGAGCAGGGAAAGAGCGCAGAAGCGGGCGGAACGGCGTTGAGCGCGCTGGGGGAGCGGACGGTTTGGCTTCGGTGTGCGCCCCCCACACACGCGCCCACACGCACGCGCACAAAACACAAGATGAGCTCAAAAAAGGCACGGGCTGTGACGACTGGGCCCCTCGTTGGGAACCCAAGAGGCGGCGGAGTAGCGGAAGGAGGGGAGGAGGAAACAATAATAAAAAAAAATAAATAAATAAAAAGAAGAGGTGCTACATTCCGCGCCGCCGTTCACTGTGACTGCTTTGGAGGGAAGAAAAAACGAAAACACATCAAGCGTGCAAGAAGGCGGCAGGAGAGGCCCGGCCACGTGGCCAGCCGGATGCGTCCACGCATTCCTCGCACGCGCCTCCTGCCGGACATCCACCGCCGCCGTCGCTGCCGCCTCTTGAGTGCCCGCGTCACTGGCCCTCCGGCTTTGCCGCCCCTCTGGCCGCCGCGGGGTCCTCCGCCAGACAACGCCGACACGTCGGCTCGTAGAGGTCTGCGCCGCCGACCATCACGACCTCCTCCGCCTCCACGCGGCGCCGCGTGAAAAACGCGTCTCGGGTGCGGCACCTCGCGCATATCGCGGCGAGCTTCTCCACCGCCTCACATTGCGGTAGCAGGCGATACGCCTCACCAAAGAGCTGCTGGCGACAGTCGCCGTCGAGCGAGGCCACAAAAACCCACTTCCCCTGCGCCACAGCCGCCGTGCAGAAGTCGTACAGGTCCGGAAAGAACTGCCCCTCGTCAACTGCAATCACGTCGTACTCGCGCCAGTCCAACGCACCAGCATCACCGCCAGCAGCAGCGTCCTCCCGGCTCCTCGCTTCAGAGGTCGTGCTGCCGCCGTCAGGAGCACCGCCGACGCGGCGGCAATTACCCCCCGCCTTCACCGACGCTGCCACGCGCTGCAGCTCCCACAGTGCGGACACGGCAACGTCTGCCGCGTAACGTGTGTGTTGCGAATGCGTCGTCAGCTCGCAGGCAGCGGACGGAGAGCCCTCCGTGCCGTCCGGCAGCCTCGCTTTCGCCGCGTTGCGGTAGCGTGTGTCGCTGCGGTGTGTGACAACGAGACAGCGGCGTCCAACAGACCGCAATCGCGAGACGCGCTGAATGAGCGCTGACGTCTTGCCGGCAAACATCGGTCCGAGAATCAGCTCCAGTCGCCCCACAGGCGCGTCCTGGCGGCAGCGCCCCTCGCCGCCGTTACCCGCCATGAAGTGGTGCCCCTACACAACGTGGAAGGGGGGCACGCCGCGGACCCACCCGTTGTGGTCTATTCCCTCTTTGTTTCTGCCGCCTGGGCTGTGGCGCCGCTTCTGGGGCGTCAACTGCGGGGAGTGAGGCGTTGCAGCACAGAAGAAAGAAAGAAAGAAAGAAGACGAGAGGCAAACAGCAACAGTGACACCACGTTGCCCGGCGTCAGACGGCTTTCGACAGACACCCACACACGCTGTTTTTTTTTTATTCTTTCTTTCTTTCTCCCCCCTCTTCGCACTCACCCGGCGGGGTCAGCGCACGCACACGTGACACTTTCCTCAATTTTCTCAAAAACGCCGCACCCCCCACCCGCTAAGCGCCCACTCCCTTCATTCCTTCACGTTTTCCTTCTTTTTTTCTTTTTGTTAGTATTTCCTTCCTCGTGTTGCGTTCTCCCCCTCCCCCAGACACACAGACGCATTCACGCCACTACACACAGTCGCTTCTCGTTGGGTGCGGAGTGCGGCGTACATGTATTTTATTTTTGTTTTGTTTCAAAACCTGGCAGTGCTCTGCAGTGCCGCTTCCGCCGTTCCACCGTCGGCTCGCGGTGCGGTCATCGTCATCGCCTGCAGCAGCAGCAGCATCCCTCCCACCATCGCCACCACCACCCTCGTGCCCCTCTCAGCGCCGGAGCAGCGTCCGGGCATTGAGGTGCTTGAGCACGAAGGCCTGCTGGATGGCCATCTCACGCCAGTACTTGTAGCGGTCGCTCGCCGAGAAGTGCCCACTGTCAAGGTCCATCTTGAGCAGCACCTCGTTGGTGTCCGTCTTGAGCGCGCGCAGCTTGGAGGCCCACTTCGCCGGCTCCCAGTAGGCCACACGGGGGTCGTGCAGCCCTGCCTGGATCATGAGGTGCGGGTAGGCCTGCGCGCGCACGTTGTCCATTGGGCTGTAGCTGTTCATGTAGTCAAAGAACTTGTACTCGTTCGGGTTCCCCCACTCCTCCCACTCGCCGGTGGTGAGGGGAATGCTCGGGTCGCACATCGTTGTCATGACATCCACAAACGGGACGCCCGCCAGCGCGACCTGGAAGAGGTCTGGTCGCATGTTCAGCACGGCCCCGATCAGCAGCCCACCCGCGCTACGCCCCTCACACGCCAGCTGCGAGGGGGTGGTTAGGCCACTCTCGATCAGGTACTCCGCGCTGGCGATGAAGTCGGAAAAGGTGTTTCGCTTCGTGAGGTACTTCGCCCCCACCTCGTACCACGCCCGCCCCATCTCCCCCCCACCACGGATGTGGGCGACGACGTAGATCATGCCGCGATCCACGTAGGGCAGGTACTTGATGCTGAACTCCGGCTCCATGCAGAGCCCATACGAGCCGTAGCCGTAGAGCATGGTGGGGTGGGGCTTGCTCAGGTCGAGGCTGGCGTCGTGCACAACGGAGAGCGGGATCTTCGTCCGGTCCGGCGCCGTCGCAAAGAGGCGCCGGCAGACGTAGTTTTTCCCGTTAAACCCCCCGCCCACCTCACGCACCTTCACCGTCGTGCGGCTTCCGGCGGCGACGTGCAGGTCGAGCCATGTCGTGGGGGTCGTCATGGAGGAGTAGGCGAGGCGCAGCGTCTCCGTGTCGTACACCTTCATCTGGGAGAAGACGGGGCGGACGGCAAAGACGGGGTCGTCAAACGCCACCTCCCGCAGCACGGCGCCGGCGAAGGAGCAGCCGTCAGGGCCCACCGACATCGTCCAGACACGCGTCAGCCCCGCGCGGCGGCCGGCGAAGACGGCAAACTTCGCAAAGACGGCCACCGTCTCAATGAACGCCTCCTCGCTGTGCGGCACAAGGACGCTGCCCCACTCCGCCGGCGCACTCCGCGTGGCCAGCACCACCTTGCCGTTCATGCAATCGTCCTTGTTCGTCAGAATCACCAGCGTCTCCGTGCCATGGAGCTCCACTTCGTAGCGCACGCCCTTTTCACGCGGACGTACCAGCTCCAGCGCCGTGTGACCGTTGCCCTTGCGCAGATCCAACAGGTGCATCTCCGTCGTCTCCGAGGAGGCGGAGCCGATCAGCAGAGTGTGCCCGTCCCCCGACTTCCCCACGAAGGCGCTGAAGAGCGGGTCATCCTCGGTGTACAGGCAGACGTCCTCCGACTGTGGGTGACCCATGATGTGCCGCCAAATCTTGTGATCCCGCTGCGCCGCGTCCTTCGTCGTGTAGAAGAAGCAAGAGGCAGCCGGGCCCCACACAATTTCGCCGTTGGTCCCCTCCACCACATCCGCCACCGCGTCCTGCACAAAGCGGACGTCGTACACTTCATTTCCGCTGTAGTCCACGGAGTACGCAACGAGGGCGTGGTCCGGCGGGGCCGGCTTCACCGTGTGCACCACGCAAAACGCCTTCCCCTCGGCCAGCTTGTTCTCGTCCAGGAGCACCTGCTCCTCCCCACTCTTTCCAGGCGTCTTGCCCTGCGGGACGCGGCAGTGAATTTTGTACGACAACCCCGCCACCTCTCGGGTGTAGTAAATGTAGCCATCGTGCGGGTACGGCGCGGACATGTCCGTCTCCTGGATGTGTGAGATGTGCTCCTTGTAGAGCGTCTCGGAGAGGTCCTTAATGTCCGCCGTGCGCTCCTCGAAGTAGGCCTGCTCCAGCTTCAGGTGGTCGATGACCGCCGGGTCCTTGCGAGCATCATCCCGCAGCCAAAAAAGTGGGTCATTGCGGCGCCGTGGCGGGTTCATCGCGCCCTTCCCGCGGTCCTCGCCCTCAACGTGGCCGAACACCACCTCGTGGTCCTTAAACGCAGCTATGGGGCCGCGCTCCGCCGACATCGCAGCCACAGTAATATATATATATATATATTTATAGATATCTTTAATATATCCTTTTTCCTTCCGTGTATGCTTCCCTGCTTGCCTGTCCTCCCTCCGGCAAAACATGGCATGCACAGAGGCGAAGAAGGAAGAGGCGTATTTGGGCAGAGCAGACGGCGAGAGACCGCGAAGAGCGGCACTGTGTGCAGGTGGCTGCAAGGCACAGGGAAGGCACCCACACCCACCCACACCCACACACTCAGGCGGAAGGAGAAGGAGGCCACCGTGCCAATGGCGGCAGTAACGATGACTCTGTACATGCACCCCAGCAAGCCAAAAACTGACAGGTGCAAAGAATTTCACAGACGCGCACAGTGAGAGAGATATATATTATATGTGTACCTCTCTTTCCGTGGATGTGCGTCCGTCCTTCTTAGTTTGACACCTACATCCCTCCAAAGCAGCAACAGCAGCAACACACGTGCTGTGCTTGTCGAGCCTGTTTGTTTAGTTCTTGCGTCGCGTGACGTGGTCGTAGATGGTGACCTGCACGTACTCTGGGGTCTGAATGACGGTGCGGTTGCTGTTGTCGCCCGGCGTCGGGGCCCGCGGGTCGACGTTGATGGTCTTTCTATCCCTCTTGTGCTTCATGAGCAGCCCCATCTCGTTGGCCGCCAGCACCTGGAAGGTGAAGCTGTTGTTGTAGAAGAGCGTGTGCGTCTTCCAGTTGTAGTAGCTCAGGTCCGTCCGCCGCGGCGTGAGCCGCTTGCGCTTTGTGAAGTACTCCGTGAAGTCCTCCGTCTTCAGCCGGTGGCCGTAGTCGATGTACGCCGACACCTCCTGCCCCCGCACCATGTCGCGGAGGAAAATGATGGTCGACAGCTTCCCATTCCGCACGAGCTCCTCGCGCTTCGCCAGGGCGTTGAGCAGCGGGGCGTCGTCCAGCTTCTTCCCCGCGCTGCAGATGACGTCCACCGTCTCCTCGCGCCGCGACGGCCCCTCGAGGGCGAGCAGGCGGGCCGCCTCGAACTCCTCGCGGCTGAGGAAGTCTTTGCCCTTGTAGCCAAGCTCCACGATCTGCCGCGCGGCCTCCTGGTTGCCGAGGTAGAAGAGGTCCTCCGCGGTCACCTGCTGGTCGAGGTACTCCTCGTACGAGGCGAAGTCCAGCACGTTGCGGTCAAAGAGGTCGCGCTCGGCCTGCGCCGTGAGGCTCATCGCTGCGTCGCTGCGTGCCGCCCCCGCCGCCAGTGCCAGTGCCCGCGGCGGCGGCGGCGAGGGTGAGGCGGGGGAAGAGAAAAGAAGGGGAAGAGGGGAAGAGGTTGCAGGGGGGGCGGCGAAGCTGCGCACGCAGCGCGTGTGCCCCGGCGAGCGCATAAACACACACACACGCACGCACGCAGGCAGGCAGGCTCGAAGGAAATGACGACGAGCAAAACGGCAAAAGAAAAAAAAAAGAAAACGAACAGCGAACAACGAATGAAAGTTAAGGAATACGCAAAGAAGGGGATAAATTCTCTGTTGGGTGCAAGAAGAAAGAGAGAGTGTGTGCGAAAAGCGTGTGCGTATGCGGGGCAACAGGAGGGCACTGCTTGTAAGAAGACACACGCAAGAAAAATTAAAAAAAAAAACGAAACAAAAAAAAACTACGACTAGGGTAAGTACATAGATGACACCACCACCATCACCAGCCCCGGCTGCCACCGCAGCCCACGCACGGGGCTGCAGCAGTGGACGGTCG